GCCACAGCACTCTGCCCAGGGGGATAGCTTGAGGCTCTGTCTCAAAAAAAAAAAACCCTCTGGAAAAGGTGCCCGAGCCTGTTCCTGTGCCTGACCCAAAGCAAGAGCCAGAACCTGAGCCTGTTAAAGAGAAAAAACTTTCACCTGAGTCGATTCTGGTTGATACCCCCTCTGCAAGTCCAATGGAAACATCTGGATGTGTCCCTGCAGAAGAATATCTGTGTCAGGCTTTCTCTGATGTAATTCTTGCAGTGAATGATGTGGATGCAGAGGATGGAGCTGATTCAAACCTATGTAGTGAATATGTGAAAGATATTTGTGCTTATCTGAGACAACTTGAGGAAGAGCAAGCAGTCAGACCAAAATACCTGGCAGGTCAGGAAATCACCGGAAACATGAGAGCCATCCTGATTGACTGGCTAGTACAAGTTCAAATGAAATTCAGGTTGCTGCAGGAGACCATGTACATGTCTGTTTCCATTATTCATCAGTTCATGCAGAATAATTGTGTACCCAAGATACTACAGCTGGTTGGTGTCACTGCCATGTTTATTGCAAGCAAATATGAAGAAATGTACCCTCCAGAAATTGGTGACTTTGCTTTTGTGACTGACAACACACTAAGCACCAAATCAGACAGATGGAAGTGAAGATTTTAAGAGCTTTAAATTTCAGTCTGGGCCAGCCGCTACCCCTGCACTTCCTCTGGAGAGCATCTAAGATCGGAAAGGTTGATGTTAAGCAACATACTTTGGCCAAATACCTGATGGAACTGACTATGTTGGACTACGAGATGGTGCACTTTGCTCCTTCTCAAATTGCAGCAGGAGCTTTTTGCTTAGCATCGAAGATTTTGGATAATGGTGAATGGACCCCAACTCTACAGCATTACTTATCATACTCTGAAGAATCCCTTCTTCCTGTTATGCAGCACCTGGCTAAGAATATTGTCATGGTAAATCTAGGGCTTACAAAGCACATGACTATCAAGAACAAGTATGCCACGTCTAAGCATGCTAAGATCAGCACTGTAGCACAGCTGAATTCTGCATTAGTTCAAGATTTAGCCAAGGCTGTGGCAAAGTACTATATCTGCAAATAAAATTGGCGCCATGTGCCATCTGCACATAAAAAAAAAAAAAAAAAGATTGGCCTTAACCAGCCAGTTTGCCTTAAAAATAAGGCAATGATCCTGGATTACCTGTGTGGGCCTTAATCAGGGAGGAAGGAGGCAGAATGAGAGAGATGGATGGTGAGACCTAGCTGGTCACCACTAACTTTAACAGTGGAAAGGACCACAAGCCAAGGAAGGTAGGCAGCTGCTAACAGTTGGAAAAGGCAAAGAAATAGATTAAATAGATTCTCCCTTAGAGCCTCCAGAAAGGAACGCGGGCCCATGACTGTAGCCCAGTGAGACTCATTTTGGATTTCTGATCTCCAGAACTGTGGAATAAGCTGTAAGCCACTAAGTCTGTGGTCATCTATTACAGCCGTGATCAGAAACACATCGAGGGTCCTCCCGTCCCCTCCCACCCTCCCTTCTGTCTCTTGCTCTGAGAGACAGACCTTCTCTGACTGCCACCTGGTACTGTGGCTTACAGTGAGGTCCAGCCAGTGGTCAGCACCCACAGGGACCTGGAAGGTGGGAGGAGAGAGAGGCCAGGGTATTTCCTCCCACTCCCTCCCTGCCCAGCGGTGGTCCTAGCAGTAGCTGTGTCCCCTGTCTGCGGAGCGCCCGTTCTCCCTGCCTTAGCTTTCCCAGCTCTAGTCACACTGTATCTTCCTCTTCCCTTCTAGCTAAGGTCACCCTTGTCCCTCATACTTCCACATTCCCTTGGCTTCTCTTGTAACCCTGCCTGCACCTCTATAAGAGACACTTCGTTACACCCTCCTTAAAGGTGGGTGAGCAGTCTCTATCTCCTGCCAGAAACCTGCTTGATACATGGATGTCCTGCCAGAAACCTGCTTGATACATGGATGTGATCATTAAAAAGGAAGCCATTCCCCTTCTGTGGGGAAGCATGGCCACGCTTCAGCAAGGACAGCACTGGATGCAGCATTTGCAGTGTCACCCAAAGCAGGGAGGGGAACAGGAATCCTGGAATTGGGAAAGGGTCTGGGCTTGGAACCAGATACAGGGGTTTGGATTCATGACCCTCTTCCCATTATAATATGACCCAGGGTGAGTCCCCTGACTTCTTGAGAGTTTGTTGGCCTGTGCCTAGAATAGGTGGTGATATGTACACCTCCCAGGCCGACAAAGGGAGAAGGGTGGCTGGCACATGTGTTGGTGGCAACATGAATGGTGGCTATCGGCCAATGCTCTGTCCAAGAGACAGAGCAGTGCAAGTTCGACAGACCATCATCAGACGTTTTTAGGGAGCAGCAAGTGATCAGAGTACCTGGATGAATAAGACCCAGCTGTAGAGAGGGATGTGGGGAACACTCAGTCCAGAAGCACCACAATCAGGTCAAAAACTCTAGATTCAATTCAATTGGCAGTGGGTTGCCACTGAGGTTTGTGAGAAGTGAAGTGGCCCATAGTCTGAGTGGTACAGAATGGAGAGAGAGAGAGAGAATTTAGAGGGTTAAAGATCTTTGGCAACTTTCTTTGGAGAAATTTTCAGAGCCATCTGTCTCTTATTTCCTTTTTGTGAAAAGGGGAAATAGAGGTTAAAAAGAATTCTAGAATCAATTTACTAAGAACTTGGAACCTGACAAAAATTCTTTTGTTGAGTGATCTGTCTTCCAGCCCGTGTTTGGGAGTGGGCTGGAGATAGGCAGGACCCTTTGCTGAGTGCTCTAGTAGGAGGGTATTCCCATCATTGTCCCTGGGGTGGCATTCCAGGAGTTGTGCAGGGCACAACTTGTACAGCTGTACTGGAGACCTCAAGAGAGAACAGATGAGCTTGGGGGCCCTGACTGAGGGTCCCTGCCCGAGGGGCCCTGCCCTGCATAGAGCCCCCTCTCTTGTCCCCTCTGGCATGGAAGTGGGAGCCTCTCAGCTTCTGCTAACTAAAGTTGCCTCCTGCCAGTCATGGTGGCTCACACCTATAATCCTAGCACTCTGGGAGGCCGAGGTGGGTAGATCACCTGAGCAAGTTCAGGAATTTGAGACCAGCCTGAGCAAGAGTGAGACCTGGTCTCTACTAAAAATACAAAAATTAGCCAGGCATTGTGGCGGGCACCTGTAGTCCTAGCTACTTGGAAGGCTGAGGCAAGAGGATTGCTTAAGCCCAAGAGTTTGAGGTTACTGTGAACTATGATGCCACCACACTCTACCCAAGTGACAAAATGAGGCTCTCAAAAAAAAGTTGCCTCCTGTTTTTCCCTTTGATAGGAAAAGAGAGGAAAAGCCTGAGTCAGCCAACAAAGTTGAACACAGCCACCTGGTAAATGTGGCTCATGGAAGCTATCCCATCACTAAATTAGTTACAGCATATACCAAACTAGCAAGATAAAAGCACCATTGTTTACCCTAGCTCCTCAGAATCTGGCCTCACAGAGAGGCCAGTCTCCTCTCAGAGCCCAGTAAATACTGGTTTTTATCTTGTTCTATAATGGTTATAATAACTTTGGCATCCTGTAAAGTTTTGTCACCTTCATTTTCTTAAAACGACTAATTTGGACCACTTTTATATATCAATACTTTATTGTTTGCAGGAGTCAGAAACCAAACTCAAACTACCTCAAGAGAACAAGGGAACTGGGAAATTCAAGGGCACAAGCTGCAGCATCAGGCAAGGCTGGATCTAGGTGTAAAAGCACTGTTGTCAGGACTTTGCTCCCTCTGCCCCACCCAGATCTGTTCCTCTTCACTGGCTTCATTCTTTTTTTTTTTTTTTGAGACAAAGTCTCACTCTGTAGCCCCTGGTACAGTGCAGTGGCATCATAACTCAAAGCAACCTCAGACACTTGGGCTCAAGTGTTTCCCTTGCCTCAGCCTTCTGAGTAGCTGGGACTACCAGAGTCTACTACAATGCCTGGCTATTTTTTAGAGATGGGGCTGGTCTTGAACTCCTGAGCTCAAGCAATCTGCCCCCCTCAGCCTCCCAGAATGTTGGGATTACAGGTATGGGCCACTGCACTCGGCCCAGTCACTGGCTTCATTCTTTAGACACCTTGCCACAGAGATTCCCAGCAATTCCAGATTTGTATTCTACAGGCCAAGAAACCCCAGAGGAAAGGAAGGATCCCATTTTTCATGGATATAATAAATACCCCAGAATGGAGTCTTCCCGACCTGGCCAGGGACGTGTGCCCACCCTGACATAATTGTGTCAGAAATGGCATGGTCAAGAGGGCCAAGCGTCAGCCAGGTGCCTGCCCAGCACCTGAGGGGAGTGGTTCCAAAGGGAAAGTATCCCAGGAAGGGAGGGTGGTGTCAAGGCCAGCCAAGAGAGCAATGGCCACCATTATTTTCTCTTTCATTTTCACTAGCCGAAGATTCCTTCTAACACAGGCATGCATGTGCAAACTACACTCACCATGAATAATACGAAACCATAGACCTGGCTAAATTGGCCTCATTTTTCCTCACTTTCCAGGTAGCCAGTGTCTGGGGCAAAGTCTTAGTATGAACCTTTGCAGGCTAGGGCAGGGGGAGAGGGATCCTGCTTGATGCAGTTGTCTCCAGAGTGACCGACAGCAGAGTCTTGGAACAAAGCAAGAAAAATGCAACCCTTTGCTTATAAAGGGAGTAAAATAACAGCCAAGAGACTCAGGCCCTGGAAGGTTCTGGGCCTCCTCAGTGGGAAGGAACTGAGGAGAGGCTGTTATACTATTATCTGGATCACTAAACAGGACATCTTGCCAAGCTAGCACCTCTTAGTTGTGAGTGACAGAAACTAAACTCAGACTTGCAAAAGAAAACAGCAATACTACATAGTGAAATAATTATTACAATCAAATAATACTGATTATTATTCCCAGGCTCATATAACTTCAGGCATGGCTAGATCCACGTGCCCAACAAGTCATTAGGAAGTAAAGCCCCCACCTCAGGCTTCATTCTCCAGTCCTTAGCAGCACCAGGTATACACCCACAGCTCAGCAATTCTAGCAGAAAGATAAGGTCCTCTTTCTCCAATCCTAGGATTTGCCTTGATGAGATTTTGGGATCCCTGAACAGCTTCATACTACTCTCGGTAACCAGGGTGATGGGATACACTGATTGGCCAGGTCTGGGGTTTGTACTCACCCCAACACTCACCCTGAGTGAGCAGCTCCTTCCAAAGCTAAAGGTCTGAGTGAGGGGGAAGGGTGGTCCTGAAGGCAGAATGATGCCTGTGAGAAAAAACAACAGCTGTCCCCCACTTGGGGAGGGGGATTTTGTGGGGTGTAAGTACAGAAGGCAGCCACGTGCCAAGTGGAGAGGAAGGCTGCTGCTGGGAAAGGAGTCTGAAGGAGGAATGGGGGCGGTGGTGGTACAGGGGGCTGGCTGGACTCGGGCCTGGGTAGCAGGTTATGAAGTCACAGATGGCAGAGGTCCTCTCCAGCAGAGCTGATAGGTAGCCCAGAGCTGGGGTCTGAGGCTTGGGAGCCATGTGTTGCTGCTTGGAAACAGAACCTGCAGGGATGGACCCCTTGCCCACGGCGCCTCTCCAAGGCTCAGACACTGACACACACACACCCCGCCCCGGCAGACGCACCATCCACTTGGAGGGAAGCTTCCATTCTCTACTGTGTCTTCCTGAGCTTGCCCCAGATGGCTGGGGTGAAGGTGACACTGGTTCTCTTGTAGGGGGTTTAGGGCTGCTCGTCCAAAGCCCTGGAAGTGGCTCCCTGAGAGACAGTTGTTGCCCAAGGGCCTATCCTGAGTCTGGCCCTGCTCTGGCAGCCAAGGCACAGTGTGAAGGGGACAGACACACCTTCTAATTGAGGCTGAAAGGTGCTTTGTCTTTTCACGTGGGCACAGGGTCTGGCTCATGCCCGGGCCTTTAGGAAATGCAGGTGGAGAGGGCAGCGATTCTGGGATATGGCTGTCACTGCTCACAGGGAGAGGAGCTGCTTTTAGTCCAGTCCTGCCTTCAACTGGCTGAGTGACCTTCACTAAGTCATAAGCAATCATTGGGCCCTCAGGTTCCTCACTTGTCAAATGAG